GCCCGCTGCGCTGCGGCTGCGCGCCGCCGGCGCCCTGGCGGCGGGGCCGCCTGCCCCGGGGTCGCCTGCGGCGCGGACCCTCAGTGGCGACCGGCAGGGCGGTTTCTGGGGATCAGCCATACGAGAAGTGTCTCCAGACAAGCGCTCACGCGCGGCGGGCGCACCGACGGCAGCGACCGGAGAGACGCTCATGGGGCAGCCAGGCCGGGGGAGCGGCGGCGGCGTCGGCCCAAGCGGCAGCTTGGGAGCGGCGACTGGGGGCGCAGCGGCGGGGGGCTTTGACGCGGCAGCCTCGATTGGCGCGTGCTCGGCGTCTGGAAGTGCAGCGGGCACCCCCAGGAGCCCGGCCAAGGGATGGAAGCGGCTGTTTGGAGCCAAGGGGTGCGAGTCACCGAACCTCGACGTCGGGCCGCAGCACGTGCAGGCGCGCAGCGGCGGTGGCGGCTGCGCCGGCGGCGCGGCGGGGGCGGGGTCCCCCATGTGTGTGTCTGCACGGCCGTGGGTATCTGAGGGCGGCATCAAAGAGGCCGGCAGCGGCGGCAGCACCTGCGCTGGCGGCTCATTCGGCGGCGGCAGCAGCCTGCCTGCGCCCGTGCTCTGCAAGGGGATCGCGGTACCGTGCACGCCAGCGGCGAGCGCCTGCGGGGCCTCGTCCCCGCTTGGGGTCGTGGGCCCCTGCTCGCCCAAGGCTCTGCGTGCCGGCAGCGCCCTGGCCGCGGCGCCGGCTGCCGGCGCAAGGTCTGCAACCGGCTCCCCCGCGCCCGGCGCGCAGGGCGGCGCCGCCGCCTGCGGCGGGCCCGCGGCTGCATCGGCGGATGCGGCGGCGGGCTTGGGCAGCACGTGCTGCGGCAGCAGCGCGGAGGACCGATTCAATGCTGATGAGGTGCTGGAGGATGCCCGCGGCGTTCCCAGGACGATGTCCCCTCTGCGCGCACACGCGCGCAAGCTGTCGCTGCCTGGCCGCGCCGGCGCAGCCGGCGCAGCCGGCGCGGCGGGCGCGACGGGCGCCTGTGGGGGCGAGCGGTCCCCAGGGGGCTGCGGGGATGGCGGCGGGTCGCCCTGCGGGTCGCCCGGCAAGAAGGCCCGGCTGGAAGCTGTGGCAGGCGGCGCTGGGTGGCAAGGTCCGGTGTGTGGGGATGAGCAGGCTAAAGCGGCGTCCTTGCAAGAGCAGCAGCAGCCGGCAGCAGCAGCAGCAGCAGCAGCCACAGGCATGTCACGCTTGTGGCACCTGAAGGGAAAGGGTGGCAGCAAGGCAGGCGCTGGCAGCGGCGCCAGCACGAGCAGCGGCAGCCTGCCGCAGCAGTCCGACAAACAAAAGCAGCAGCAGCAGCAGCAGCAGCAGCAGCAGCAGCCGACGCGGACCCACAGCCAAAAGCTGCAGGAAGCCTGCCGGCTCGAGGCCGAGGCCAAGGCCGCCTCCGACACCGGCCGCCCGGAAGCCGCCGAGCAGCTGACGCGGCAGGCCCTGGCGATCCTGCAGGCGGCCGCGGGCGCAAAGCACCCCAACACGATCGGCTGCATGGGGCGGCTGGCCGGGGTGCTGAGTCGCCTGGGCAAGGCGGCGGAGGCGGAGGGGCTGTTCAAGCAGGTGCTGCAGCACAGGGAGGCGCTGCTGGGCCGCTCGCATCCGCAGGTGCGCCCCAGGAGCGGCCCGAGGGCGGAGGCCAGAGGGCGTTTCGGCGGGCGCGGGGGAAATGAAAGCGTGGCTCGTGCGGTCTGCGGGGTGTTGCCAACGCTTGCTGGGCTGTGATAGGGCGGAACCTGAGGGCTGGACTGTCTCACATCCTTTTCTGGAACCTGCAGCAGACATCCGCGCGTTTTGAAGTTTCAACGCTTGGGCAGCACCCACCCTGCCCTCTCGGGTGATGCACTTCTGCCCTACAAAAAGGCGCCCCTCACTCGACAATATCAACTGTTGCTCCCCAGGTCGCCACAACCCTGAACAACCTGGCCACCTGCCAGTACGGCCGCGGCGCGTTTGAGGAGGCGACCGCGACGTACCGCTCGGCATTGGCGGTACGGCTCAAGGCTCTGGGGGCGGAGCACCCCGACACCGCGGCTGTGCAGAAC